AAAGGCAGCTGAACAAGGAAATGCTAATGCACAATACAATCTTGGTGTGTGTTATGACAATGGAACTGGAGTAGAAAAAGATGAACAAAAGGCAGTTGAATTGTATCAAAAAGCAGCTGAACAAGGATATGCTGATGCACAATGTAATCTTGGTTTCTGTTATGAAAGGGGAATTGGAGTAGAAAAAGATCAGCAAAAGGCAGTTGAATCGTATAAAAAAGCAGCTAAGCAAAAGAATGCTTATGCACAATACAATCTTGGTTTTTATTATCAGTATGGAATTGTTGTAGAACAAGATGATAAAAAAGCAATTGATTTATATGAAAAGGCAGCTGAACAAGGATTTAGTGCAGCTCGAACTAAGATTTACAATATTCATTTCTCCAATGATAAAATCTTGAAAGAGAAAAAAATACAAGAAGTGATAGAATTCTATCAGAAAAAGAATGAGGCCAGATAAGCAATTTACCATGTAATCATTGTGCCTTAGAAGTGACAGAATTTTATCACAAAATAAAAAAGGATTAATGTGCCATAATAGTGACGTTTTCTTCATGAATAATTGGTTACTCAAACTGCTTATATGTATAGGTTTCCGTGCTGCGGATAACGGCTACTTTACATCAAACTAATAATGCTAACGTATATTTAATTCTATAATTAGATCAACTATTTAGTGAAATAATAGAAGCTGTATAAGTGGTGGTATTTTCGTTAGCTAACATTATTTTTATATTTAGCTCATCATTGATTCCCATTCTTGAATCTAAACATTCCTTCTGAATACTTATACTATTAGTTTAGCTTTCATAGAATAAAACAATATACTTACTGGTCCTTAAAATATCCTGGCCACTCCAATGATTTTGCAGCTGTAAATTGCAGGTTCGAATCTTGAATACGATTGTTAATAGACGCGTTTTACTTTGGAATCTTACTGATTACATACTTCACAGTCAGAATCATAATTTAAATTGCTTCTATGTTATAATATTATTCCCCGACTATCAAATTAATCCCATCGATAGTATTATTGCAGTGCAGTCAATTGAGAAGAATCTGTGTATACGTGATCGAACGTACGAATCAAACCCAATTTAAGGTCACTAACTGTATTGGCAATTTAAGCAAGAGTAGAGATTAGCCAAGCCTCGATCGAAAAAGTTGCCAATTACTGAACGCTGCCCGCAATAGTTGGCTCGACACATGCATATGTTTTCCATTCCCTTAAAAACTGATATAGGTGTAGCGAGAACGTGGAAACTGTCTGCTGCAAACAGTTATAGTTACAATTTTATGATAATAAAATTTTTCTTAAGATTTAAATTACGTTTACTTCTAAAGAGTCTAAGAGTTGATACGATTCGGACCATCGAATAGAATGGAAAGATCGAAAGATATTAGTGCGTAATTATGCGGACAGTAAACTCATAACATTCTTATTGATAAACATATACAGTAAAATCAGAGCGCGTGACGCGATAATGACATGTCAAATTACCAATCAAAGTTGCCTATTTTAAATTAAAATTAAACTCTTCAATAATTATTAAATTATTGTTTCTATTAATCGTTGGTAGGATACTACGTATACGCGCAACAAATAATTAAATAGGTCACTCGAAGATACAGTAGTTCAGTCTTAATTGAACAACTACTGGAATAAGGTCTGTAGTATGAGCTAAACTCCCGGTTGGTGAGCGAAAGGTAATATTATTCTCCCACCCCAGAAATATACCAACCGTAACAGTAATGGTTAGCTGATATCTTACACTAGCCTCACTTTTTTGTTAGTTTGTATTGTACAAATGTTTTACATCTTTTATTTATCTCAGATTGATACGGTAAATTTCACATAAGAACATTGTAACAAACCTATTTATATTCATATTCATTTCTGCAGGTAATCAATTCGAGTTTACTTTAATTGCATAAAGTAGGAATAGTAATCTAATGAGATGTGGTTACAGGATTATTTTGGATGATAATATGTAATTGTTTCTGGCTGAAGAGAATGCAGATAAATATATTTGAGGTCAAAGCTGTCTGGCCATACATTCATAAGTGTATGCATGGCGCGTCTAGGTAATAATTGATAAACCTGATAACAACCAGTGCTGGAGAAGAGACTGCAATGATAGATCTTGGTTGGAACCTCACGCCTTAAAGTAGTAATTGATTGTGGAGCTGCAATGTTAAAGAATAAAGGCCATTCGTCGACAGTGATACAGTGGGTTGTCAACAGAATTTCATTTACCGTACTTATTGGAACTCAAGTTTCCCAATCCTTATACATACAATTTGCCCCGGAATAATCATTCATCTCATAACAAGACTGCACTGGAGAATACAATGTGAAAAGGTATTGCAATACGAGGCAGACAACTACAATGCGTAGTATTATCAGCATTAATAAACAATGGCCTATTAACCAGCAAGATTGTGGAGAGTAGATATGTTCTCGAGTGGCTCAATCGACCAGGTGCTTGTGAGAGCAGTCGAAATCAAAGATTAGGTTTTTCCCGCAGATTATACTTGTTTGACTAGGGTCTCTACGAAAAGCGATGCCATTTTAAAGAAATTGCTGCGAGGCAGGGTGAATGCGATATGACGACTGGATTGCTTTTTTTTTCTCTTAGCGTATTCAGAGACATAATAGCCGTTTCATCAGTAAGGGTACCAAACGAATTCTGAAGGAAGAACAAAAGTCTGTAGAGAGGTTTGTAGAAAATGCGGATGCTCTTAAGTAAGTGCAATCGTGGCTCAATTTGGTTTGGAAAATGAGTTTTATAATCCAATATATTTTATTCAAGTGATTATGATTGAAAAGGTGTGTCGAAAAGTTCCGAAACTGTATTCTACGATTGTCAAAGCATTTTTGTGCTGGATTTGAGGATAGTCCGTGGATCTCTTTATCTTTGATGAAACTATTATCATCAATCTCTAGAAGACTTTGGCCAACGGAACGGGATACCGTCTTTGGTTATCATGATTCAAACGATTGTGATCCAGCTCTTGGATACGCGCGGCTGGGAGAGACATAATATCTAAGAATGCGAAGGTAGCCGGATTTCTTTAAAGAGACAAAGATGTTCTTTGGGTGATTTGTTTGAAGTGGTATACTTTATTTATGTTACATGGTTGACATTCGTTACAGTTGATTTAGAGTCTGGGTCTCGGAAAGTGCTTTACGCATAGACAAAGTACGAAGTCGCTATAGAAACTCATGAATCCTTGAATTAGATCCATCCAACCACGGAGCAAAATTGGGTATATGTTGTAGAGGAACTACTATCGAACCATTGAAGATAACAGCACTCGGAAAAAAAATTGTCTTTCCCATTAACACAATCATGGGCTGATGTACCAATTACATACTATGTCAGAGACGTCCCGTCTGTCCAGGCGAAAGGAAATTGTCAGGATGCTATAAAGACTTCTGGAAGTTTCACTGTTGGGGAAGGTCTTTGCTGAAGCTTATCAACGCGAGGTACGGTACAAGATTTCAATAAGGCTTTGTTAAAACAACGGATCTCGACCCTCACTCTTTGTTTCTGATCAGATTACAAATGGCTATTCTCTCAATTCAGCGGACATTTATTGATCCACCGCCGTTTATTCTCTTAACAAACAGGTTCTTTTGTCAAGGAGTATTTGCTTTGCTTATTTACCTGCCATGTATAAGCTTGAGCCAATGCAAATACTTGAATTGTTCCAATCATGTCTGGAAAGGATGAGGAAACTTGGAATAAGATAATCGAAGGCGTTAAACCGAATTGCGAGAAACAGTCGCGTTTCATATACTGTACACGTAGATCGGTAAAGCGGGAATGGTATTCATCGAACTAAGAGAAACCGACTAGTTACCCAATCAAAGGATCAATATTTATTATACTCTCGCTAAAAATCATATTCAAATTATGATAAAGATTTTGACTCTTATTACAATGGGTTTCCCTATATTCCTCAGAAGAGTCTTATGTTATTATAATACTTACAATACGCAATACTAGGTCATGACAATAGCCACCAACAAACTCTATCATATCATTACGTGTTTGTAGGCTGCGCACACGCACAAGTCGAGAAACATAGCAGAGCATCCGAAGAAGAGACACTTCCAAGTCCACGGATATTATCCAAGCCACGGTAATCCAACCACCCTACCCCGCGTAAAATTCGCCTCATTATCTGAGACATTTCCTACTATTACAAGGCATCGCTTCTACCGTTTCCGGAAGATCGTCAATTTTTTGCTGGATCCACATTAATAGTATCTTTTACCACACGAATGTCTACCAGATGTAGACAGTTAGGGAAAGCATCTAACAAGCGAGCACAAATCGGCTATAGCCACTTATCCTTAGAAGGAGGCCCAGCAGCTTGTAAATATGCCCCTTTACTCTTCTTCCCCTTGGATTTCGGCGGAGAGGGCCATTCACCAACAACTATTTGACAGGTTGTAATAATAACTATATCGTACGTCTCTGATTTTCTTGGATCTTTAATCAAATCCAGAAATAGATGTGTCTCTGATTGGCGTTTATAACCATCATCAAAAATGAAACCTTGGTTCTTTCTCTAGGCTCGTATTTATATTTGGGTTCGCAGTGCTTGAAGAATTGCTTAACTCTCGGTTCTTACTTCTCCCAACGATGTTTGCTTCTTGGAATACAATTTAAGAGTTTCTTTAGTGCAGAGAGGCCCTGCCTCTATGGCAGAGCCGAAGCGAAATGCAAGGTTTGGCATTTATTCCCAGTTATAGAAATTTGGGGTGTCATTCCCCGTTCGTCATACGCAAAACAGACTTTTCCGTGTGCCGATCAGAAGATTCGTTGATAATAATGATGCAAGTGTCGGTCGTTTGTTTGCATATTTCCGGCTTAGCCGGAGTCGCAAGAATGAAGCTTATAAAGGGCTTGCATTCAACAGACTTTCAGTCCTTATTGATTCGCGATTCGGTGAAATCGAAAACTTTACGCAAGATTAGAAAAATATATCCATGGATGGAAACCGCTTTGGACATTATATTACATTCCAAGAAGGAAGTTCCATTAAATTGTTAGACTATAATGAAGACCAGAAAATCGTATTGCGTGAGGATGCGTTGGATATCTTGCGTAGATTAGAAGAGCCGGTCGCGGTTATCTCGTTGGGTAACGTAGATGTTCTTCTGTAAATATTCGGAATGTCCAATCGATTATTTACATTAATTGCTATCACATACTACTCCAGTTGGGTCATATAGACGAGGGAAGAGCTGGTTTGCAAACGTTTTGCACGGAAGACACGATGGGTTCACTTTAGGTCATGGAACTGCAGGTGAAACACGTGGGATTTACATGTGGGATTCACCTTTCATGTATGAAGGCAAACGGTGTGTGAACGCTTATTGTAATTATAAACAGTTACTCGTCTGTTAATGTCCATGACTATTTATTGCTAGTTGTTTAACGAAATGCCCTTTTCGTTCATGTTAGAATACTAGTCCTCGATTCAGAGGGCTTGGATGATCCCGAGCGGGACGCCGGGTTTGCCACAAAGTTATTCGTCCTATGTCTCGCTATATCGTCTTCTTTTATCTACAATATCAACGGCGTAATCGGAAAAGAAGATGTGGAGAAACTATTCTTGATGACGGATTTGTCGAGATTCGTTAATCCTAACGACACAAGCAGGGTTATGCCGCATTTAATAGTTTTACTGCGAGACTTTATGTTAGAGAGGCCAGACCATTTTGGCGAATATTTCCTAGAGCAACTGCGTAGTGTAAATGAGGAAGGTAAGAAAAGAAATCATAGCCTTTGCATTCTGATCGGATTCTTTGAGAACATATGATGCTTATACCGATGGAAAAGCCAAATTGCATGCTTGAGTTGTTGGCCAAAATTTGTTCGGATGTTGCCCAAGTTATCTACCGTACGAAAGAATTGGTATTCGAAATACCTTAATTATAACACCCAGACAAACGACTCAGTTGGCAAGTCAGGTGACTTGGTATTCACCAACAGATATGCTCGCCATTTCACCTTAAGGCGCGATTGATCAGCCGGACGAGCAATCTTTACTGCGAATAAATTAATAACGGTAGTCTATTACGCGATTCAAGTGTGATAACTTATCCAAGGCATGAACGAATATTTCTGTTAACTTAATCGACAAGTTTGATATGTCTATTGGTTAAGCATCATTGTTCTCAATATTAAAAGTTTCGGCTGTAACGAGTTACTGACATATTCCATTATCAGCTGCGAATAACATAGACGATAAATTTTCAGAGTTTACAGTCTATGGTTTGCCCGTAACGTATCTCTTTCTATAAATTCTCTCTTTTTTTTGTTGCCTTACAAAATTCAGTTGAATAATCAGATCATTTCGTACTCTCTAGCATCCCGGACTATCTAGCCACCAGCTAAGGGAATTACATGAAATAGATACATCCGACTTTGACGAAGAATTTATTGAAGAAGTAACAAACGCGGTGAACGAAATATTGGAAACGGTTCAGCCCAAATATATTGACTCGAATCCAGTTAATGGAGATGTTCTCGCAACATTCCTCGAATGCTGTGTCCAAACACTAAACACCCGCGATAATCAATTTGATTTGAGTTTGTCTACCAACTATGATAATATTGTCCAATATGCTGCCAAAAAAGCTGCGACTGAATCTTTCGATTGGTATAGTTCGATAATGGCAGCGGAATTAAACGAAAGCGTACTACCTGTACCATGGAATGTATTTGATAACATACATAACGAATCATTGCAAAATGCTGAGAACTGTTTTAACAACAGTCTGGTTGGAAATGGAATACATCTGTTGAAGGCTTATCAAGAGTTTAGAAAAAATGTCGACCCCCTTTTGACTAGGCTTCGAGGGCAAAATTCCGAATTGCTTTATTCGTGTAATCGGGATACGGCGTGTTTACTCTGGGAACAGTTAATTACTTCCCATTTGACGGCCGATAATTTATTTAGCGTAAGTCTTTCGTGATTAATAATTTTTGATTTTAAACTTTAATCGTCCAGCGTAATGAATTAGTCCGCTTGCCTTGTGTTATATTCACAAAAATAGTCTGTAGAAGCGCTGGAACAAGCTTTTGAACGCTTTGAAGAACACTATCTCGATGCTAAATTAGACTGCCCCGAAGCTACGCGAGTACTAGACGAATTTAGGTCAGTTTACTACAATTCAGCCAGAAATTTGTTCAACAATCTGAAATTACTCAGAGACGAGGTTGAATTAGAGAAATGGTTGACTATAGAAGCACAAAAAGATCGAGCCGAAGCACAGGCCGAACTACCAAAGATAGCTGGTCGTATGGAAGGGCTCGACGATATATCGAAAAGACAGAAAGAGGAGGCAGACAGATATCGACAACAAGCTGAGGAGATGGAAAGAAGGGTCAGGGATCTAGAACAACAAATGCAGAGAAGGGAAGGTGAATATCAAGCGATGATAAATAATCTACAAAATGAATTGAGGAATCGATGATGAAATTGTAACTTTTTTTGACGAGAAAACTGTTTAATAAAGTCAGTGTCAGTTGTTTGGATTCAAGCAACTTCTTTATTCCGTAAACATAATCGTTTGGACACCAGAAGTCTTAAAGATTTATAGTAGGATTTATTTGGTAACCTTCATTGTAATATTGAAGACGTTGCAGGCAATGGGAGGGATGATAGGCTTCCATTTCATTTACTGTAATTCACATAAACTCTTCGCCATTGGGTGTTGTATTTATCTGTTAGCTTAATGAAGTTACTTTGGATATGCATAACTCACAGGCAATATAAACGGGGAAGTTTTTATATAGTGATTAACGGCGTAAAAGAATTCCCAGATCAGCAAAAAAGTCCAACAAGTCCAACAGTTTTCCATTTATCGCAATGCTTTATTTATTGCTATGATTTTAAATAATTTACAACCCGTAATATTGTAGCCCTAACTTCTTTCTTCATGATCCAGGTATTGCGTAACGAGGTTCAGGATGGTAGTAACGATTGCAACACCAACCTCTTTCAGATAGTCTTCTTTATTTTTTCTCGCCTCTTCCAATTCTTCTTGCATTTTCGCCATGTCTTGAATATATTTAGCTTTCAGCTCTTCGATTGTTTTCTGGCTTTCGTCTCTGATTTTATCATCTACGCTCGATCCTGTTTCTGCCTGCTGCTGTACCGCTTGCTGAATGTCCTCGTTTTTGGAATTCAAGGCTTCCTGGATGGATTGTATTTGTTGATCACGGTCGGCCAAGTAGTTTTTAAGTCTCATTTCTCGCTGAGTAATTTCCAAGAATTGCTCTTGGAGTTTTTCTCGTTCTTTCATTTCTATTGCCAGCATTTCGTTGATTACGTTGAAGTTTGTAAGCGCGTCTATCGAAGCTTTATATTGATTTTCTTTAAAGTATTTTAAGGCTTCCATGGCCTCTGGTGATGGAATCCAGCACTCTGCATATTGTTTTTCGAAATTCGTAATAGCTTGCCGGAATTCGGCTTCGGTCTGGAGATACATTTTTACCGTAAAGAAGAAAAGGTAAATGGGTGAGCAAAATATCATTAATACGATTCACGTAAACTGACACACACCAAGCTTATGCTGTACATACAAATAACCGGTCAATGTTCAACCCTGGCTCAACCAGCTGGCTCCAAAGCATGTTAGCCTTTCCTAGATTTAAGTCATACAGCTCTTTCGAATTTTTTTCGTAATATGGCCTTTTGACGTTGTCAATTTCTTGTTGGAATGTTTCCTTGAATTCGTTAATTTGCTTCAAAGAACCTATTAAACTTCCTACGTATTCTTTTATAACATCGTCAAAGATAGCTTGTTGCTTTGCGGTAAACTCTTCCCAAGGCATCGGTGTAGAATTTGCTAAATCAGTCATATCCTCTTGATACTGTCTCAGACATCTGTCTTTCATTTTATACGCTACGTGTTGGATAACACTTTCGTATTCATCTGGAATTGATAAATGATCTGTATCATTCATCTTCGCAACACATTGGACGAGAAAGTCTGTGAACGCGAGACCGTTCATTTTTAGATACCCGATATATTTGGGCTCAAGCCTTCTAAAGATATCCCTTACAGATGCCGTGGTTTCCTCAACAAATTCTTCTTCCAGACTGTCTGTATCGATTAATTGCATCTGTCGGAGATCCTTGCTTCCGACTCCTGGATGCTATAATGTTAAAATTAGTTGAGAATGCTGTTATCAAAACTTATAACGCAGTTATAGTTAAATTTGCTTACAGGCAAAGCATAGACGCTTAATTCTTTGAACGATCTTTTAATGCCTTCAGCAGCTATTTTAGTAAACTAGTGTTAGGACCAGCATATTTGTTACAAAAATCGGCAACATCAATGTTCAGCTTACCCTCGCAATTAGACCTCGCCAAAGTGTCTAGAAAATACGCTTTCAATGATTCTGGTCGTTCTAACCCGAAATCTCGAAGCAGCATTACTAGATGCGGCAGGTAGTTGTTATCTTGTGGAGGTTGAATATATCTGGACAAGTCCTGCATTAAAATTAACTTGCCGACATCACCACTTCCTACTACCCCGTTTATATTGTAGACCAAAGTTGATGAAAGTACGAGGCAAAGAATGAATAACTTCGTCGCCCATTCGGTTTCTTGGTCGGGATCATCTATCCCCTCTGTATCAAGTACAATCACTCTGCAGTGGAATACCGTAATTAATGAGTTAAAGTTTATACTTCGAGATATATTACCTTAGAGACATATACCTTTTTCCTTTGTGTATGAACGGTGTATCCCACATGTAGATACCACGCGTACAACCGCTTACTTGTGCTCCAAGTTCAAATCCATCGTGCCGACCATGCAACACGTTAGCGAACCTAGTTAATACGACATACAATACATGATTATTCATAATTGGGTGGATATTTTGATCTTCGTCTTCAAGAACGTTTCTATTAATGTTACGTTAAGACAAATACAAAATGTGTCTAATAGACTTTTCACAAATTACATTATTACCGTCCACACGTATTAGTATGCTAGCACTCCATTTCTATCCTTCATCTCACCAAATTGATATTAAACTCTTACCATGATTTCCCTCGTCTATACGAGCCGACTAGATAATTTAAATAGCACAAAAAGTCAAGCCTTTAATTGCAAGCAGCGACAGCTGAGTGGCAATAACTTACCGACAGCGATTACGGCAACTGGTTCCCTTATCTGTTGCAGAATTTCTAAAGCTTCGGGAACTACATATATCCTCCCAAGTTCATATCTGATAAGCTGGATGGGTTGGCCCTCTTGTAAGGGAATTCCTTGCCCGAAAGGATTTGAGCTTTCATATGCCATGTTGATGAACGACTCGACTCATAGAGTTGAAATAGCATAAAAGTCGTCAGCTGATATCCCGTTCAAGTACACAATGACATCTTTACTATGCGTTTGTTCAGATTATGCACAGTTAGACTTTTTTAGTCTACGTTATCCCGTTTGTTATCCCGTTTGTTATCCCGTTTGTCATCCCTGTTTGAGTCTAATATATATTGTTTTTAACGTTTAAATCCTTTGTACATTGGCGTTTGTGGGAATGCATTATCAATCTGACTAACCAAACATGGTAATCTTTCAAAGGGTACATGTCAGAATCAGATAAGCCTCTCGGAATACACCAATAAAGATCTTACATTAATATTAATGGGAAATACAGGGCCAGCTCGATATGCAGTAAGTAATAATAAGCCGGGCGAACAACTCCGGATTGGAGTAAATTACGTCATCGACGTATCAATTCATTAATATGCATGTTCATATTGTGACAGCTGCGATTGAATTACTCTGCAACATTTTCTGATTATTTCGATATAGTTTTTCGTCTAACCGTGGTATTCCACGTACTCTTGACATTTTCATTAGTCTTGAATATCAATACAAATACATATCAAGTTGATTATTTATTGAAGAGATATTTGACAACGACGTCCATCAGTCATATAAGAATCCCGACGAGTTACATCGATTCGAGTCTCAAAATGTTGCAAGCAGCGATGACGCTAATATTTTTTCAGGGTTCACACATTTGTCAGAAAATACCTTACTCCGCTAAAAATTGAAAACTATAGTACTGAGGACATTTAACTGTTTAAAATAATTTTGGTCAGTTCGGGTTTATTATACCGATTTTATTTGAGGCGGCTATTAAAAACGATAATCGAATTTATTGAACAACAGCATTTGTTGCGTGTTAGGCAAAATATTTAAAAATGCAGTTCATGGGTTATGTCTGAACACAGTTATTGTGAAGCCCTGAACTCCTTCAATGTTTTTATCTCTATTTGCTGCTGCCACTTTTCAGGAACAGACCCAAACTCTTTTTCGACATTGTCTTCATCCCTTTTTTTCTCTTTTGTTGACTGACTAAAACGAAAAACAAATGAAGCGAGTTCCTGTTCTAATTGGCGTAATTCCTCCGACAATTTCTGTCAGAAGAATGCCGAACGTGAATTGTCGGACATTCAATAATTATGGACATTAAATTGCTGACATGTCTGGCACTCGATAAATATGGATATAAAAATACTGAATTTGCCGCTCTCCGATATTTATGCTGAAATTGCTGCGCTTATCGAAAATGGCTGAAGCTAGTAGTGCAAAATATTATGCAGACGAATAAATCATAATAATAATAGTATAAATCGTTAGTACTGCGATAATTGCTATAAAAAGTAGCAATACAAGTTCGATTGTAATCACCCGTATTAGTGTTAGCTTTTAGCACACACTAATAAACGATCTGAAATTAGATACATAAATTCTGCCACAATCGTAAATCCCTGGTAATCTGTACCAATAGGGTAGACCATAATACACGTAATAAGCCCTGACATAGCGGTCACGGTAAAACGAAGACCCCTTAACTCCGAGACCTCAGAAGGAATGTTGCACAATGGTGTCGCGAACGATCAATCGTTGGGTAAACAAAGTGAACAAAGTTCGGATACTCCATAGATATCCTGAACTTCTTGCAAAGAAAAGTAAGCTGACTAGTACATTTTCTTTGACAGCTATTCATGTGTTGTTTTCAGGTTACCCTTTCAGATCGGGGGAAAGGTTTCGGTAAAAAGAGTATAATACTGTAACAAGTCATGCGGATACAAATGTTATTGGAGTAACGGAGAAGTATATATAGTTGAAATGGAAAACCCGCAACGCGGAGATGTTCTATCGATGCTTTCCAGATGCTTTGGTAGTAATAGGCCAAATAACGGTGTGCTACTCGGTCTGATAAGGGTTTTCATCAACCATGTAAGAGACTTTCAATCAATTTGCTTGTTTGTCCACGTGGTAATCTTGTTCAGCCGATGCGTCGGTATCCTGGTTCTCTTCGCAGTGACTATCGTTATGGGTCTTATATTTAAGCAATTTTCTAACAATACCACATTACACAGGAAAACATTCCTCAAGCAACGGTCAGTTGAACGTCTTGCGAATGATACAGAAAAGTTGCTAGCGGCAACATAATTGATGCGCATTGGAACAGATAAATGTTTTTGTCGTCTCCCTATTAACTTTACCATTTCAGATCCTAACATCTAGACGGAGGGTTTTCTTGCAAGAATTATCTGCGAGGTGGGCAATGCTCAAGCCGTCGGCTCATGGAATACTAGATGTAAAATATGGATGCACGAGGAATACGTTCGCTGCGTGCTTGGAATTAAACTTTATCCTCAAAGAACAACAGTTTATCAAGCAATGATTGTATGTCCACTATGTTTATATTTTTAATATCTGTTTATTGTTCGGTTAGTTTTGATTCTAAGAGTATTTTTATTTTGCAGTAGGCAAGGTTGTGGGTGCTCGACAAATTCCAGGTAGTGTGTTGCCTTCAAACACAGCTCTACTACTGTTGTATTCTTATAATCAGACATCAAGTCATACTAATTTTGCAAAATGGTAGTGGGAATACGGAACAATACACCATAAAACTTCTACCCCTACTGGCTGCAATGCCCCGAATTTAAAATATCCATTCCTGTCCTGTCTCTTATACAGCAGCGATGCGTTACAGTTGTACAACAAGAAGTTTTATTTTCATAGCAAGGGAGTAATCATTTGCATGGCAAATACTTCAAAATTGTTCCGACTATTACGTCAGAAATGTTTCTATTGCGACTACAACACTCGATTTATTTTTGGAAAACCCAAATACGCATCAATTGATAATTTTTATGCGCCAAAGTCTTAATGCGTGTAGGTACTGTTTATGTTTGACTCACATCGCCTGTGAAATACATGTCCACAGGATAACAGAGTAAATGCTTCAAAGTTACGGATTTTTAGGATGCTAGGCGAGAGTCCTAACTAATGTTGAAAAGAGAAATAGTAGAAGATTTGGTTTAGTAAATTGAATTAAGGTTCAGACAATTATTAGTTCCACAAAATCTGTTTTCAATTTGGATTGGGACAATATTAATAAAAATTGGATTTATCGTTTAAGGTGTCACATGATTTAAAGTCACTTTGGACAACAACGATCCCTGTTGGCACTATGGTTAAGAAGTGTACTGTATCAGGATTCTGTAATATCGTATGTCCACAATCAACGTGTTTAGATCAACTCGATTTCTTAGAAAAGTGGTATCACGTTCCTGAGCAAGTATTCTTGTGTTAAATCTAAAGTTGACACATCTAGTACTGCTCTCGTAAACTTCGAGTTCTCTCATGCCCATTTATTTTGGTTATCACAATGCTCATCATCATATTTATTACAGATTACTGTGATTACTGTGATAGATCATTTCCCGACAATCCTGAAGCACGAAGGAAACATCTTGAAGGAGCACAACACCAATTGAGTGTGAAACACCATTATGATGCATACAAAGGTGTGTCGATGAACTATTGCGTTTGGGTACGCATTTTAATACAGTGCTCTTGACGTCAGAACACTTGCCGCTCTTGTTTAGATCCAGTTGAATTACTCTTAGAGAATGCAAGAAAACCTCCTTGTCGAAGATTCCTTGAAACTGGTTTCTGTCCATTTGGACTTAGTTGTAGATACTCTCATGTACCTCCTCATATCGACATGTCAACCATTGATCCTCACTGTGAGTTATAATATTGTTATCTTTTCTCTAGTTTATGTTTATTTTGTCATTATACATTCTGACACCAATACTTTAGTATATTTATCACAGAATCAACATCTACTCAACAAACAACTGAATGAATTAAATAGACCTCCTCCTCGTCCTCCTGTAAAGGTTACTCGATATAAACTCCCTCCAGGCTTACCAAAGGATCTTCCACCATCGCTTAGACTGCCTCCTCCAGGAGGCTATGACTATAGTAATGTAACAGAATGGGGATAATATGAAGATGATTAAAGTTATTATACATGTCTAGATTATTGGTCTTATCAGCAGATCTATAGTTTATTATCTAAATTAATACCACTGACTTCACCCCCGTCACGAGCGACTACTCCTTCCATTTGTTACATTACTCTAGACTTTGTATCAATGTTCGGACACTGGTTCACTAACGCGACCGCAATCCAGATTCAAAGATCCTCTCCCCCATTTTTAAAGTCGGCCAAGGGATAGTTGGCTGAGCGATTAAATTAGGTTGGCTTATCGTATACATCACTAAAGAGTTCAGTGAGAGACGGTTTATGCATTTTTTCTGCCTTGGAGAAAGACTTTAATATCTCCTTCCTGATATCTGTGCGGTACTTTGCTTCTTTTTCATCGTTCCACCAGCCCTACAGGAACCATTCAACATGTTTAGACAAAATAAACCTATCCCCCCTCTCTCCCCTCTAGCTCTTTGCTAAATATTAATATTCACCTTATTATGTAGCCGCCTATGAAAACTTGTTATTGGGTTATCATATCTCATCCATGTCTCCACTTCCTTCTTCGATCTATACGCAGATGAATCATCACTCTATGATGACCAACTCGGGTAGGTAAGTGCTTCAATTAGTACTGGCCAGTGTTCATCAACGGCTAATTGTCTTGCTGCTTTTGTTACGTTGTACACTGCCCAGACGTCATTACCGCTGCGACTTGCTATTCCATCACCTTTATATTGCTCAAGAGCTGGTGTAGATATTGCAAAACTATTATTACGGCTGTTAAATTAGCAATGATCAATAACCATTGCCTCCTCGAATGCAGAACAACGGAAAAATAACAACTAGCAAGATTACTCAGACAAAGAAAAAATCATCAAAACGTACCAGAAGATAACTGGGCATTGCATAGTGGCGGCAAAATTCAATGCGGCATGGAAATCACCCTCGCTTGCAGCACCATCACCAAAGAAACACATTGCGCAATTCTTTTTCCCTACCCGCTTTAACGCATATGCAGCACCCACTAGCGTGAGGTATCTGGTGAAGATATTGTCTGAAAGTTCAGACAGGCATCTGTCGTCCTTTGCCGTAATCTTTCTCGTTATTGTAGCACTGGTTCATGAATTCATCGCTCGTAAAGCCACGGTAAAGAAGTATGCCAGCTTCACGGCACGGTATTGTCCAAAGATAACGTCGGATAGATCAAGAGTCGCACCACAGCTAATGAAGGCTTCTTCGCCGTAGTTGAGCATCATATAGAATAAAGTCCATCGTATCTTTGTGGCAAACTCTTCGGTAGTCTTTTTTTTTTTTTAAAAAAAAAAAAAAGTGCCAGCATTATGGTTATCTGAGTGATTATTAGCATCATAATCAGTGAGAAGTGATAGCGAAGCGAGAAAGTCATTCCGTCTGGCTCTTCTTGAACTAGAACTTCCTATTCCCCCTCTTTATCCATGACTCGGTATGTTGGAATTGCATCTATACTATGAATAAATTCCAAATTTACTGTAAAGTAGCTCCCGGGTGCTCCAAGAAACTCGACTTTCTCCGGATTTTGACATTTTCGAGTTGCTGTTACGAAAGCCTTTGTTATTATATTGATATATAACAGTATGTTAACAATTGTCATTCTAATGGCTTTCGCCTTCAGTTTGCATAAATCACAATTATAATTACCCGAGACGTTATGGTACATGTTCTGATATGCTTGGGTGCGATTATACGATGTTATTAATGATCAGGTGAGCATACTAATACAGAAATTTGTCGTCCGTCACTATGTAAATCCCGTCAAAGCCGCATTTACATAGCGACGGGATTTACAAATACTTTTGTGATTATCATTTTTTTTTGTCCGTGTAATTGTTACGAAGGCTATACATTTTCTAATCTAGATGTTAATCACGGGACTAACGATAAATTACAATCAATATTCTGTTGAAGGCTTGAAGTCCGTAATGATTAGTAGTCACCTTTACCAAAGATACATCTTTTTGGCTGTTACAAAGCGCGCGAGATTATTTCAGTACCGACGCAAATTCTGTTCGAAATCTGAGATACCTTTTGGTTCTTCAAACCAATCAAAACTCGTAATTATAATCTGCTTTATTCAATTTGCAAGGTTTATAACGCTAATGTGTATTTTATGTATTCAGTTAAACTTTGTAAAACTGATGCATCTAGGAGATTATGAGACTGCATTATCTATCAGCTTGTCCATAAATGTGGACACTAATACACGTACAGGCTGTATGATAGAAATTCTGCGGGCTCTTCTGCGTGGAGATACGTACGGATTGGTCGGAATATGGCAAGAAGTTGTTGTGAGTTAATTCATATCTATTTGCGTATTTATTCTGAATACTTTGTTTATAATGTTGGCCAACTTTATTTATGCTAGAACGAATATCAACGTGCCGAGGCGCTTTGCAAGCAAAATGGCTTACATAAAATGTACGCCAATGCAGGCTCGTTTCGGTAACTAGGAGATAACCTCAATTTTGTCACCTGCATATGTGTCTATGTGTGTCTGATAGTATATACGTTGTCAGTCTTTCAAAAGCTTTCGTGGAAATGTCGAAAAAGGTGCATGAACGAGCACGATCACAAGAACTCTTAGAAAACACAAAGAGTCTCGTACTCGATTACCTCGATCTAATCGACGATCCGTAAGATTCTGTGAGATGTTGGGCTTGTTCTTTCTTCTCGGCTGCTAATAATAATTGAAAATTACTTTATTATTATTCTTAACAGGCAGATATTACGATGTTTATATGGGTCGTCGTGCTTATTGCTTGATGATGCTGAACAAGCGATTGAGAACTATTCGCAAGCTCTACTTAATCAAGATGATAATAGAGTTAATTATCTTTCTCCATGTCAGACGGTCTATTATGACAAAGATTGGATTAGTGCAAGTTCCACCATCGGCCTTGGCATAGCATATCACAAGGTCGGTATGTTGGATAATTCATACTCTGTTGCTTGTGAAAAAAACCACAACTAGGCTGATTTGGGCTACTGGAAGGCCGATATGATGATGCATTAGAATTTTATGATAAAGCATTGTCACTTACAAAAAAACGCGAGGGTATCCAAGATGACTTTAATGCCATCGTCGAGGCTATTGATTTGGAACTCGATAAACTGAGTGGAAGGTCAGATGAACGTTGTATTGAAGACTTTGTAAACGACGCGTTGCAGAGCACAGTCTGGACTCATCCTGGAATATTCAAAGGCGAGCATTAATTCGAAGCACTTTAAAATAATATGAAGTATCAATATTTCGCGTAATTTGCCATCTATGATCTTAAAAATGCTCCATGCTCGCTCGTAAACAGGTTATTATTTGCTAACCTCATATCCTATTTCTAGTTCTACACCTTCAAAGAATCGATGCAATTGCAGCGTACAATAGTAATATTATTAAATACCACAACTCTTTTACCCGTGCCCTTGCACCAACACAACTCATTGAACTCTCAATGAACATCCTTCCAGCCACGAGCGTCTCTATTTATCATCATATGAAAGGATTCACTCACTTGCTTAAACACAAAAACCATCAGGAGGCGCAAAAAGAATTCACCGAAGCGCAACAAAATGATGCGGCAATATTGGAAGGATTTATTGCAAGACAGTTAATGAACAGAGAAACTGACGTTGGCGAGATTATTGAGAAACTGATGCGCGATGAATGGAGTGGTGGTAAATTTGACAAGAGGATCGGAGTGAAAGAAAGGAAGAGAGTAGAAATAGTAAATGAGCTTATTGGCAATGAATTTGTGTAATTTGGTTCACCAGCATGTTTCTGAAAGGAGGCAGTACTAGGGAAGCCGTTCGATATTCGTGAAATAAAGCTGTTTGTCTGTAAGCAGTAAAACTTACCATAACTAAATGACTCAGCACAAAGACCTAGTGATTAATGCATCAAGTGCATACCTTAGCAAACAAGATATTTTGACAAACCTGTTTGAGAGCCTGTAAGTTATTATGTGATTATTCACAAAAGCTCAAGAAATGGATAACACCTCACTGCCAGTATTTTAGAGTTCCCAGTCCAATCAACTTACATTGATGCTATCAAACCAACTTCTGCAATAATAATAAGCTACAACTGACCTCTGTACATTTAGATAAGCAATACTAAATACTGACATTTATTTTTTTCAGGCTCTATTATCATACAAAAGATCTTCAAACAAACGTAAGTATAGAGCATTTAACACATTTGTTTTTGAAATCATGGAGTACATTCCCAATACCAAAGGAATTCCACAAAAATTGGCATAATAATATAGAGTAATAGTAATGAGCATAATAATAAATACACTACTTGGATAAAAGTATCGGGCACTCCAACTTTATTAATTGTACCTAAGTTACTAATACTAAGACTGAAAATAATCTTTGTTGGCTGTATTTACTAAGCTAATAACAAAATTTTTTGTACATAATTAAAGCTAATTGACTAGTTTTCAGGGAAATTAATTAATATTGTCATAATAATAATGAAGCTGTGGTCTGAAGTGATGGTATATTAATATAGATTAAGTATAAACATATGATTACATATCATCACTGCTTCAGTCAATTATCTTTATTTCTGTACAAAAAATTTTGTTATTAGCTAAATACAGCCAATAAATAGAGGTTTTCAGGAAAAAAAACCAATTTGGTTTGTTAATTGATCAGCAGAGGAAGGGTCGATCTCAGGGACAAAATGCAGGGTTGATCATTGTAAACGGCGATTTTGTAAAACGGCGATTTGATCATGTGATCGCTGCGGTATAGAGTGATGATCATTTCGACTGCGTTACTACACTACCCTATACAATAAATTACCGGATTTCATATTTTTTTACTAGTAAAACATATGAAAAGTCTTTTTTTTTTTCAAAAATTTCTCCTGCCCATGTGAATGACAATAGTTTTTGTATGGTTTTGAAGCTAATTAATTGTGCTTTTTGAAAAAAGTTGACGGTAAATTATATATATCATCGTTATAAAGCTACAGCTTTGTGAAGTGGCAGTCTTTAAATTATGGTATAAAAATATATGATTATATATGGAGTACATATTCTCTTACTTCCTTGATTCTACAGCTTTATAACAAGAATATATATAATTTACTGTCAATTAAGCACAATTAATTAGCTTCAAAACCGTACAAAACTATTGTCATTCACATGGGCAGGAGAGATTTTTGAAAAAAAAAAAAAAAAAAAGACTTTTCATATGTTTTACTAGTAAAAAATTATGAAATCCGGTAATTTATTGTAGGGTAGTGTATTACGTCCAATTTATCTTTATATTTTTATTGAATATTAATTAGCTGCGGAGTCTTGTTCTTATAAATAAACCAATATTCGATAATTAAAATCCAACCATTCCCTTAACGAAATAAACATGATCGACCTTGCATATTGTCCCCCCTCGGTATATCCCTGTTAGACGTTTGTCATAAAACTTGGTTAACTTATTGCAAGCGATTCAATACGATCTGTTCGAATAAAAGGATAATAAATGCGATATCGTTCTTAAGTCTCCTGAAGCGACTATCGTGAAGAAGGAGCAAAACGATATAAACGTAGCGATATAAAGCTGGTTAACTATAAGACTTCTGCTGCGATAATGAAAGCTATAATGAAATAAAGCTCTATTATGGACTTATTAATTCGTTGGAACAATATTGTCCGCTGAGAAAGATCATGTTTAAGAATAAAGTAAAAAGGTTCATAATGAGTACGTTCGCTGAACAAGAGTTGTTATGCTGTGTTAATATTATTATTTGTATCAAAACGGGGCGAGTCTTTCCGTCGGCTCGTAACGTAGTGGTTTCGCTATGTATTCCTCCGTAGCGAACATTTAATGACTTCCTTAACCAACATAGGAAAAAGCTATGAATACCGATGTGTTTAAGTGAGAAAGAGAGATATTATTATCTCTAAGTATATACTCGTAAGGGTGAACCGTTGTTTATCAGGTATGAACATAATGGTTGGATGACTATAATGAATAATGCATTATTCGTAACGGTTCTTTCTCACTTAACAAGACATCGAAGAAGTAGCTCGACCTATACGATATTATCATCTCTACTTTCAACTGAGTATGGATAATAATCCGCCTAGGTAATGACTCATGTTGAGTAGTGGGAGTATTTCGTAAGAGATATTCGACAGTGACCTCCCTCGACTATGGTTGAGAGTGTTCATAATTAGTATTGCTGACTAATTCACTGAACCGGAGAGTAACACCGGTAATATAAATATTAATTACTAATTGATATATCGTTAGCCTATGACAATATTATAATCGTGTGAGTTACTTGTATTCCGTTGGAACAAGATTAACGCTGCGAAGAGTTACTATTTCTAGTACTGACTAAGAAAGACATAATAGAATGGATATGACGCTAAGCGAATTATCAGCATTCTAGTCGTTGGGTTATGCTTCCCAGAATCTTAGTAGGAATACGGTGCGGGAATATTTGTCTAGACATGTAGTTTTCGTGGCAAGTTATAATTGCTTGGCTATACGAGAGTAATTTGTATAATCGTTAATTTCACAGTGCCCATAATGAAGCATGCCGAGCATGAACCCTCGGTGTTATAGTTAGCCCATCGCGTTCACAATCATGTGTTAACAATAAAGAGTTATTTATTGATAGTAGTTTATTAGAACAAAGTATCAATATTTAGATTCAAGTTATCAGTTAATGATTAAAATCATGTTGTTAACAAGCTGGATAGGCAGCTTATTTAAGGTTTTGAAACTAATTCTAACTATTACTATCACAGCTAATTATTCCAACAACAATAATAATAAAATTTGTGAAATTCAAAATATTTATCTTTTGTGCTATTTCAATTTCAGTAGCACAAAGTCACCCATTCACAGTTGAGAGTAATCTGATTTCAAACAAGAATTTGATTCCAGAGCCTTTGCTAAAGCTGCTGCTCCTGTATCACCTATTATATTCTGCTCCAATTTTAGAGATATCAAACAAAAATTTGATTCCAGAGCCTTTGCTAAAGCTGTTGCTCCTGTATCTCCTATATAATTACAATATAAACTTAGAGATGTTAAACAAGAATTTGATTCCAGAGCCTTTGCCAAAGCTGTTGCTCCTGTATCTCCTATTGTATTATGATCTAGATTTAGAGATGTCAAACAAAAATTTAATCCCAGAGCATTTGCCAAAGCTGTTGCTCCAGTATCTCCTATATTATCACAATATAAATTTAGAGATGTCAAATGAGAATTTGTATTTGATTCCAGAGCCTTTGCCAAAACTGTTGCTCCTGTATCTCCTATTTTATTATACCAAAGACTTAGAGATGTCAAACAAGAATTTGATTCCAGAGCCTTTGCCAAAGCTGTTGCTCCTGTATCTCCTATTGCATTATGATCTAAAGTTAGAGATGTCAAACAAAAATTTGATTCCAGAGCCTTTGCTAAAGCTGTTACTCCTGTACCTCCTATTTCATTATAATATAAATTTAGAGATGTCAAACAAGAATTTAATTCCAGAGCCTTTGCCAAAGCTGTTGCTCCTGTATCTCCTATGGTATTGTAACCTAAATTTAGAGATATCAAACAAGAATTTGATTCCAGAGCCTTTGCCAAAGCTGTTACTCCTGTACCTCTTATTTCATTATAATATAAATTTAGAGATGTCAAACAAGAATTTGATTCCAGAGCCTTTGCCAAAGCTGCTGCTCCTGTATCTCCTATTGCATTGTGACCTAAATTTAAAGATGTCAAACTACAAGCCTTTGCCAAAGCTGTTGCTCCTGTATATTCTATTTCATTCTGGTTTGAATTTAGAGATGTCAAACAAGAATTTGATTCCAGAGCTTTTGCCAAAGCTGTTGCTCCTATATCTCCTATTTTATTATAACCTAAATTTAGAGATATCAAACAAGAATTTGATTTCAGAGCCTTTGCCAAAGCTGTTGCTCCTGTATATCCTATTTTATTGTGACCTAAATTTAGAGATGTCAAACAAAAATTTGATTCCAGAGCCTTTGCCAAAGCCATTGCTCCTGTATCTCCTATTCTATTCTGCTCCAATTTTAGAGATGTCAAACAAGAATTTGATTCCAAAGCCTTTGCCAAAGCTGTTGCTCCTGTATCTCCTATTATATTCTGCTCCAATTTTAGAGATATCAAACAAGAATTTGATTCTAAAGCCTTTGCCAAAGCTGTTGCTCCTGTATCTTCTATATAACTACGATATAAACATAGAGATGTCAAACAAGAATTTAATTCCAGAGCCTTTGCTAAAGCTGTTGCTCCTGTATCTTCTATTGTATTATTATTATGATCTAAATTTAGAGATATTAAACAAGAATTTGACTCCAGAGCCTTTGCCAAAGCTGTTGCTCCTGTATATCCTATTTCATTCTGGTCTAAATTTAGAGATATCAAACAAGAATTTGATTCCAGAGCCTTTGCCAAAGCTGTTGCTCCTGTATATCCTATTTTATTGTGACTTAAATTTAGAGATGTCAAACAAGAATTTGATTCCAGAGCCTTTGCCAAAGCTGTTGCTCCTGTATCTCCTATCATATTATACCAAAGACTTAGAGATGTCAAGCAAGAATTTGATTCCAGAGCCTTTGCCAAAGCTGTTGCTCCTTTATCTCCTATTCTATTTTGTTCCAATTTTAGAGATGTCAATCTTAAACAAGAATTTGATTTCAAAGCATTTGCCAAAGCTGTTGCTCCTGTATCTCCTATTATATTCTGCTCCAATTTTAGGGACACTAAACAAGAATTTGAT